ATGAATGGACAGTCCAGAAAGGATCGTACAGACCTTGGAAGGTATGCTAAGAGCTTGTATTCTAGACTTCTTGGATAGTGGGGATAGGTTGGTAAAACTAATGGAGCTTTTGTACAATAACAGCTATCATAGCAGGATAGGTATGACACCATTTGAAGTGTTGCATGGGCGAAAGTGTAGGTCACTCTTATATTGGGATGAAGTAGGTGAAAAACTGATCACTAACCCCGATTTGGTGGAAAGAACCTTGGAGAGAATTAAGGTTATTCGAGAAGGACTGAAAGTAGTTTAAAACCGAAACAAGAGTAGGGTGGATTTAAAGAGAAGACCTTTAGAGTTGCAATCAGGAAAAAAATATATATATAATTGAAAGTATCCCCCACCAAGGGAATAATGAGATTTGGAAGAAGTGATAAGTTAAGTTCAAGGTATGTAGGACCTTACGAAATATTGGATAAAGTTGGACCTCTAGTGTATCGACTGATTCTTCCACCTGCTTGATTAAGGATACATGATGTTTTTAATGTCTCCCAACTGAGAATGTATGTATTAGACATGACCCATATTTTGGAAAATCAACCCATTGAGATGAGGGAGAACTTGTCAATGGAGGAATTTCCTTTGAAAATCATGGATCATAAGGATTAAGTTCCAAGGAGAAGGACCATACCCTATGTAAATGTGCAATGGACGAACCATACACCACGAGAGGCAATATAGGAGTTAGAAGAAGACATGCAAAATAGACATCCCTATCTTTGTATTAAGGTACATAAGTTTCGAGGACGAAACTTTTTGTAAGGGGGGTAGAATGTAAAACCCACGATTTTTGGGCTCAATTTATCCTGCCTAATTTAATTAAATGGTAATTTATTATGGGTAAAAGCAAAAATAATTGCAAGTTAGGTTAAATGGTTAATTAAGGGGTAAGATGAGATAAAGTAGGGTAAAAGTTCACTATAGTTAAAACTCCTATCTAAACTACCTACTAGTGGGTGGTTATTAGGGTTTAGCACAATTATTAAACACACACAAAAAAAAAACCTATTCCCTACCATTCATTGTCTGCCTCCCCTTAGAGCAAGAGCCGTCAGAGAGTAGAGAATGAGAAACAGGCGTTGCCATCAATCAATCAGACGACTAGGTCTCTAAACTCGTAAGTCCTAAATTCATGTGAAACTTCTCTTTTAAGTTTTATTAGTCGGATTAATTATCCTAAAGATTTTACAGATATATATATTATGTTATATATAGAGATATATATTTGTATATGAGATTTAGGAGAATTCATATCTGGAATAGTAAGATTAAGGTATTAAATTTTTATTATGGAATGAATAGGATTTACCCAAATTGTTGGAAAGTTAAAAAGAGAGAGAGAGAGAGAGAGAGAGCAGCAGCGGCGCCAGCCGCTGCCGTTGTATGTGTTGCTGAAGCTTCAGCATAGCAATGCAACAACCCAAGAGAAAAAAAAAAAAAAAGAAAAAGAGGAAGTCGCCAGCGCGTGGCTGGCGACAGGAAGCAATTGCCAAAGGATTGGCCTTTTGACCAATCCGAGAAGACCAAAAAAAAAAACAAAATTTTGAAGTTAAGAGTTGCGGCGCTGCTTGGCAACGCCAGGTGAAGTAAGAAACAAAAAGGGCCTGGCAGGGATGGCCAAGGAAAAAATATATATATAATAATCATAGTAATAATATAATATAATATATATATATATATATATATACAAACACACACACGTTTATATATGATGGCAAGTATATTTGGATTAGAAAGATGGTATGGACTTAGTGAATATACAGTAAATAAATTTTAGGAATAGCTAGGCCATCTTATTGTTTATTATGGGTATTAAAATTCAGGACCATCTTATAGTGGTTGTTAGAATTGAAGATTTAGTCAGGCAAAATTATACTTAATTGATTAAGTCTAAGATACTAAAATGGAAGTTGAAAACATAATCTAGCCTTACTAGGTTAATTTAGATAATGTAAGATAGACGCTTAAAATAATAATAAGAATAGTAGTAGTAGTAGTAAATAATAATACGGACAATAACACTAATAATAATAATAATAATGGTAAATAATAATTATTAGACAATAATAGTAAGGATATTAACAATATGGGTATGGAGGAAATAAATTAAGGATATAAACAAAGACAAAAATATAAATACGAGTGGAATAAACTAAGACAATAATAATTATAATAAGTCAATATATATATGTACATATATACATAAATAATAATAACACCTACACACGCATAAAAGTGGAAATAAAGGGAAAGGTAATAGTAACTATTTAACATATATATAAGTGGTAATAAAATAAATTAGCGACAATGAGGACAATAATAATAATAATGATAATAATAATGCTAGTAATAGTACAATAAGGATAACAATAATAATAATAGTAATGCTAGTAATAGTACAATGAGGATAGCAATAATGTTAGTAAATAATAAGGTTGACGATACCGAGTGTGTTTGGATTGTAAGTTATTTGCCCAAATATATTTGCTTACATCACCATTACAATTTTCAATACACCTTTTTATCTTCCCAATTATCTTTTTATCTCACATACATCACATTACAAAAAGTACTACAGTAAAAATATCTCAAATAACTTACAATCCAAGCACAATTACCGTTAATAATAATAATTATTTTAATAAATAATTATCTTCTTTTAAATTAGGAAACTTTACAAAAAGGAGAACCTTCTCAATTAAGAAACTTTCTAAATTAGGAAGCCTTGCAAAATGCACACTTTCCAAATTAAGAAACTTTCTAAAAATAGAAATTTTTCAAATCAGAAAACTTTCCAAAAAATAGAAATCGTACGAGTTGAGGGGAATGTTATTAGGGTCTATATAATGGTCTGGATATGAATCTTGTACTTACTTAGGGGTTGTGTATTTATCCATTTATAGGAAGTAGCAACTAATTAGGGAACCTATGCGTTTGATAGGTGCAATACAAGGACCTAAGGTAGTTCCACTCGAGCAGCCAAACAGAGGTAGGTGGTACTTACCCTTCTGAGATTTCAAATGTGCAAAATGAAATTCTTGTTTTCAATTCTATTTTGTTGTGTTGACTTGAAAGGTGTTTGATTAAATGCTTTATTTGGATATTTATGAAAGCTATATTCTTCTATACAAAAATGGACCATGTGACTTATTTGAAATGTTTTGATATGTTCTTATATACAAAATGAGCTGAATCTATTATGAAAGCAAAGAATTATGTATATGATATATGAAATGAATTTTGACAAGTAAAACTCAAAGCAGTTATGGAATAGACGGTAGGGGCTATAGTCCTGTCTAATGGCCATGGTAGCCTGGTATAAAGTCCGGCCGATTGGTAAGGTCATGGTAGCCTGGTATAGAGTCCGACCGATTGACAAGGCCATGGTAGCCTGGTATAAAGTCCGGCCGATTGACCCAAGAATGAAATGAGATCAATCGATAGTCATGAAATCTATTGGTCGCCCACCTAGATGGGGTCTAATCTCTAGGCTGAGTACTCAGTAGCCAGTCATTGCATGTACTTGTTATGAGCTGATCTGATGGAATGATTTATGAACTGAGTTGAAATGCGACTTATGAACTGATATGAGTTGATTTACGAATGGTTATGAAGAGATTTGTGACTTGAGATGAAATGATTTATGACTTTACGATATCTCATGTACAACTATCAATAAGATGCTTTAAAATTACTTGTCCTTCTTTACTGCTGAATTCTTTATAAATAATGTTACTTTCAAAATCACGGATGTGAATGATATGCAAATGATTTGAGTTGTACTTATATACTTATGTATCTATAAAATTAAGAGTGCATGGTCCAACAGAGGGGTAAATATTGCCTACTGAGCGATGTGTCGCTCAACCCACTTCTTACCATTTTTATAGATTCTGAAGAGTATGAATTGGTTTACGTAGAAGACCCTGAGGATGACTTTTATTAGTTTTAAATGAATAGAAGTTGGCAGACTAGCTACTTCTAGTTGTTAGTCATGTTTATTCTTGTTTCCGCTGTTTCAATTGGAGAATAAATGTACGAACGTCTTGAATATTTGTGGACTTTCTCTTATATGTAATTCGTTCCGCACTTTATTTAGTTGAATTATTTAGTGCTGTTAAAGTTAAATTAGTTAATGTAGCCTTGTATTCCTGAGTGGGACTTGGGAGTACGGCGGATGTCATGTGACGGGCACGTGTGGGCTCGGGGCGTGACACAAGGCTTGATAAGCTGTGATTAAAAATGCTATATCAACTAGAGTTTACTGATACGAATTCAATCAGGAAGTTGACGTTAGTTTCATTAAATTAACAGAGAATGGGCATGACAATAACATTTAGTTCAGCATAACGACATTCAACATGAATAGCCAAATATCTGAGGAAAGGACACAGGGTTTGAGAAATGATAGCAATTGTTGCAGTAGTCAAGCAATAGCAATGGAAGGGGGGCTACGCATTCAAAAGAAGGCACAACAATATGATCAGTGTGGAACAAAGTTTGTATTATAAACTAATTCAGAGCCAGCTACGACGTCACAGAAGAGCAGGCAATAGACATGAAACTTCCAATACTAGGCTAATTTGCAAGAAATTCCTGGGAAACGTTTTGAATGATTTTTTTATATAATTATTTTTCAAATTGTCATTTCCTCTACTTATTTATTTATATATTTGTAAATTCACATGAAAAAATAGATGAATTAAGGTTTGATGCTATGTAAAATATCAGTTTGATGAACTAAGGTTGACCTTGTATGTTCCCATTTAATTCTTGATCCTGTTCAATTGATTTCCATAATTTCATCTCTCCGACGTTCCCATCCACCAAGTGGGATCCTCTCTTGAATAGAAATTGGTGCCTCAATTCAGTTTTCTAAATTGCCCTCTGATTTAACATAAATAGAAGGGCTCAAGCTGGCTGATTCTTGTGCTCTGAGTCCTGTCTTAGATTTACAGATACAAAGAGCAATGGAAAAAGTATCATTGGGCACAACTTGTAGTCGACTGCAGAACAGTGAGAAAAAAAATATGTTGCCTGTTATAGAGCTAAGATACAACTTCAAGAAGGATGCAAGCACCTATCAGGGTTCAGCTAATCCACATCTTTCTGCTGCTTTGAACTACAAGCAGTATGGAAGATATGGCAAATTGAGTTCCAAAAGAAGTAAAATAGCACCTCATTAACATGTCTACAAATTGCTGATTTGGTTGGACAGTTTAACAGCACCAGACAGACAGGGAAGATCTCAGGCTTTGGCCATCCGAGGCAGAGAGCAAAAGGGAATTCTATCCCGGATGTTTTCATCTGATCTGACTGAGACAGGATCTGGTTCAACAAGGGATCATAGGACTTTCATTACAAATGATAGTAAGACCGAGCTATAAGGTTAATGTTGATCTCTGAGTGCAAAATCACTGCAAAACACAAAAACTCAAACTTAAGAGACTCGAGACAGTATGTAGTCAAGAACAAAGCCAGCGCCTAGTTGCATGACATTTTTGTTGTATTTGAAACACTAAATAAGAACTTAACATGAACAGAGGAGCAACCAACAAGTATAGAAGGCAAAATGCTCTTAATAGCCTTCATCATAGCGAATGAAATAATTACAGCAAGTAGCAGCAGCCAACCAGTATGCTTGGCAGTCTTGACTAACCATAGCAATATGCTTCAAAAATTGCATCTTAGAGTTGATTGTGTTAGAAGATACTATAACAAGTCTGTGCAGCTTCACTGCATGAACAGTACATCTTCCATGGCTGCTCCCAAAAACATTTCCATTATGAGAAGATTTCTCAAGTTTTGGTTGTAATATGTTCAGAATCAAAGTAGTTAAAAGTCAAATTTGAGTAGTAAAAGAAGAGCAATATATCTGAACTTACCAGACTCTTAGAATCAAAAACCAATTTGATGACCAACAGCTCTGGAAAACTCCTGAAATGTTTACGACTAGAAAATCACAACCAAGGAAAAGTGAGACAGAAACCCATCATTTACAAGACTTATCGAACAAATCACTAATCAAATGGTTCAACAAGCTTGATAAATGTGCCTTCAAGAGGCGATTAAACTCTGGAGCAGCTATTTACTCCCTCTAGAATCATAAGCTAGGGAGCTGATCACTTTAGCAATCACATCTTACATCCACAAAAGCAGATATATGAAATCAACAAATTAAACTTCTATTGCATATTTCATATTGATGGGAAACTTGTAGGAAATGCAAAGCAAAAATTAATGAATACCAGCTATAAAAATCTAATCTATGTTCATCTCGGGGAGAGACACAAAAATCTGCCTGCTAAGTGCAGGAGGAAGGATGCAGTAGAGAATTGCTGGTTTAAAGTCTTATAGAAAAGGTTTCTAGAATTGCTACGTGTGGTGTCGAAGCTAAAATGTCCAATGCATTTTCAACAGTTGAAACTTCAGAGAGAGCAATCTTTTCATCCTGGTGGAATCACAAGTTTAAAGAGAGCGCACCGATGTTAGCAATCATGACGCATAAAGGAGAGTAACTGACATGCATGATAAACAAAACTAAATTCTTAAATTCCACCCACATTAGTGCATTTGTTTCACTACTGGTTCATCCAAAACATGATTCAGTTAACCCAAGAAAATCTCGCTCATTTTGGTCACTGAAACAAATATGCAACAAAAGCACGTTTGCCTGCATTTTTAGAGTACTTAGTTGGATGAGGAGCTTTTAGATTGAAAATTTCAGGAAGGCACGCTTGCCTGCATTACAATTAAGATAGAAGAGCAAATTCCATGTCATTTTTTACTAGGAATCTTACAGAAAGAAGGTTTTTTTTTTGTTACGTTTGTTCTAAAACTAATGAGCAGGAAATAAGACTTGATACTAAGTACATCTACTAATCCATTTAAAACAAATTCGCTAACCTTACAGTACTTCTTGAAAATTTGCAAGCTCCTCATTGTCAATCTATTTCTTTAATACAAGCTCTATCGCCAACCATTACCCCCATGATCATTAGCAGAAATTCATGGTAATGATGGCTTTTGATCTTGGAAGACATTACATAAGCTTGGGAAAGAAATTCTGGTGGGCAGTTTGTAGAGGCCAGCTGACACAGATAGAGCATTTTATCAGGTTTTACACACTAGGAAGAAAGAAAAGTGTGCCTGTAGTGTGCCATCCTAATCATTTCTGTCCAACTGAAACAGGATTTGATTCAACAAAGTTTTCAAAAGTTACAAGCTGTGTAATTCAATCAGTAAGCAAGTAAAATTGTAGATTCTAGTTCACATTTGAGCCTGAAATCATTGCAGAACAGAAAACTCGAGTTGAGACAATATGTGAACAAGAAAGCTAATCAGAAAGTTCAGAAAATTCAACAATAATTTTGTTTTGTCATTCCTACAAAAGGCTAAAATATGTCTTGTTTGTTATGAAACTAAATAGATAAGCAAGTACTAAGTCGTGTTTACAATTACAGTAGTTTGGTTCCAACCATAAAGCAAGTCATTACAGCTCATAAAATGAAAATAATAATGGACAATTTGTAGTGCGGGCAAAGCATTTCACATTGAGGCATTGAGAAACAATAGAGCTGTGGGCCACTGAAGCACAATAGATATCCACATTTAATTGCTACCAAAACACCAGTTAGTTCTAACCTCTAACTCTGAGCAGTATGCTAGAGATGACAATTTGAGTTCTAAAACATGTAAATCAGCTCCTTATTATCATGACTACACATCACTGAATCATTTCGATAGTTTAAAAGAACCATACCCCAATAGATATCTCAGACTTTGACCATCTGAGGCACAGAGGAAAAGAGAATGCCATCCTAGATGTTGCCATTCAGCCGAAGCAGGATCTTGTTCAGCAACGAATTGTAGGACTTTCAAAAAGTAAAGACAGTAGGTAAGAGCCATCCATGAGGTTCCCTGTTGAGGTTTGTGCCCAAAATCACTGCAAAGCACAAAAACTCAAACTGAAGGCGGCGAATAGCATAGAATAAAACTAATGGAAATTTTTAGATAATTATAGTTTTTCTGTCATTGTAACTGAAGCCTCTATCAAGATGGATTCATTAAGAGAAGCAATTCACAACAAGCAGACTTGACTAACTACCATAATGCTTCAGAACATTGCACATAGAGTTGTTCAGTTGGAAGATACTCCACCAAGTTTTGTGCAACTTCATCTCTCAAACACTACAAACCTTCCTTTGCTACCTCAAAAATATCTTCGTGATGACAAGATTTGTTTTTTGTTTCATACATAATAGATTAGATATTGAAGGGTTAAAAGTCAAAATTGAGTAGTGAAAGAAGAGAAGCATATCTAAAATTACTAGAATTTTTGAACCAAAACATGAAAGTGATGACCAACAGCTGCGAAAACTCCTCAATTAACCATTGTCTTCATGGATAAAAAGCCAAAATCAAGGAAAAGTGAGCCAGAAATCCATCATATACGACTCTGATAGACCAATTACTAGTCAAATAGTTCAGATAGCTATGCAAGTTCATTATCAAGAGACAAGAGGTAAAAGTTCAGTCCCCTTAGAATCACAATTTTAAATAGAGTGAGATGACTTTAGCAATAACAACTTAAAATCCACAGAAGCAGAGCATGTAATATAAACAGAACTGACAGGTTGTCGAAACCTGTGCAATAATAAAATAAACCTAATTGCCAATTAAAATGACCAAAACCCAATTCCAAGTATTAGAGCAGGGACTCTAGGTGTGCAATGGGTTACTTGATTCACCCTGTTCCTGAAGAGTTTGCTTGATCCGATATACCCGAATGGGATGGTTATTTTTTTCACAAATAATTATGAATTTGTAGATAGGGGAAGTAGGGTCGTATCCTTAGGGACTGGGTATATTTGTCTCTTAAGAAATCCAAGGTAACACAGGGGGTGATTTTGTAGGAACGACGACAATCAAATAAATTCAAATAAGAAAATAAAAATAAATAACTAACTAGAAATTAAACAACAATTCATTGAGCTTAAAGTAATAATAATTAAAGGCCTAAATCAATTAAAACAAGAAAACAATTAAAAATAAAATAAAGTAGGCAACTAAAAGTCAAATGGCAATTCACTAAAATCAAGGTAATATTAATTAAAGATCTAGCCAAGAAATAACTTCAGCAATGGTTCACCTAATTGATCATCGAAGCAAAGGCAATTCCAATTATTTATCAATAAATAGGTTATAACTACTAAACAAGCGATGGCAGTCAACCCCTCCTTATTGGGTCGGTGATTAAGGTACGCCCGTTAATCACTACTTTAATTAGGAGATAATCCTAGGTACGCCCGTAAGATTTAATTCCCCAATTGCCTTACGTATTAAAGGAGCCCTATTCTAACCAAATAACGCACTACCAGGGTTATCTCAGATTAGCCCGCGTATCCCCTTGACACGAACCTAATCGGGCTAGTTGTCACTATTTCAGGACAATTAAACAATTACGGATTTAATGCCCTAATTGACAATAGGTTACTAAATCAATTAATTATCCAGATCTAAGACAATCAATTAATTAAATAACCATAAGTATAGCAATCAAGGAATATGCGAATACCAATAAATAAAAGGAAAAGATTAAATTAAATCGATCTCACAATTTTTAGGTGAATCAGAGCCTCCGTTGCTCCTTGACTAGAGTGGTGAAATTAGTTCATGTTTGATGAACTAAGTCCACAGGAATTTGAAACAAGAGTCGCGGCCATTGTCACAAAAATTGGGAAATGCAATTCGCTGCAATCAAGAAAAGATAGCAAAGTTACAAGAGGTAGCCCTCCATTTCACTTCGAATGACATACGAAGAAAGGAACGTAAATACTAAAAGTTCAAAGATGAAGAAAAGTCAAAAGCCAAGAATGGCTTAGGGGTCCTGACATTCGTAAGTCCCCAAAGCCAAAAAGTAAGTCCAAGGGAAAAGTCAATAAAATTCAGGCTAAGCTAAAGACGAAAAACTACGAAGAAAGCCAGATCGCCCTAGTCCTTTGCTGCGCAATTCTTCTTCCCTCGGATGTGCGGCGGCTCACAGGAAAAAAGAACATTTTGGCCCAAGAGTATTACAAGAGTTACAAGAGTATTACTATTATGTTGTAAGGAGTAAATGAAGAGCACCAATATTTTGGACCTAATAAGAAATGCTAATGCCGCAGCTTTGAAAGATAATAAATAGGACGATGAAAAGGGAGAAGAGAAAATTGCGAAAATAAACATGGAGACTTTTTAGGTTTTCTCACGAGAAGGTTAATCAGAGGGGGAGGTGAAGAGAAGGGGAGATTGATTGTAAAGCAAATTAAGAAAGTTGGTAAGAGGCAATCTTACATGATTGAATTTGATCTGAAGATGAGTGGTTAATAATGATCGGTTATGCGTAGGTCTTGAATGTGAGAAACTTTGGACCACTGGGAGTCGGGGCCGCTGCTCTCAGGAGTGCATCTTTCTTTTAACAGAGGAGAACCATAAACCTCCAAACGTTTTAGTTTGGTGAGACTTCTCATGGCATCCTCAGAGGGTAGATGTCCAAGCTCTTTGAAAAACCATAAGTGCACGTCTTCAAGAGCCGCAAAGTTTCCGAACCAATCTGGCAGAGCTTTTATACCTCCAAAGACAACTAGCGTTAGTGACGTGAGAGTGGTCAAGTATTGGATCTGAGGTGGCAGGGACTCCATGTGTGGCAACCCAAATAATTCTAATTCACGGAGTGCGGATGACGAAGAGAAGAAGGAGGAGGATATCAATCCAGACCAATCAAACTCATTGTAAATTGAAGAATTTTCATGATCATCACCATCATCTGAGAAAGGACCAATTACAAGCTTCCTTAAGCTGGTTAGGAAACCAAATCCTTTGGGCGTCATGCTTGTTTTCAGTTCGGGACACTCGTATAATTTCAGCTCCGAGAGAGAAGGCATTTGTTGCAAATCAAGCGGAAAGGAGATAAGATTGTCACAACCAGTCACCTCAAGCTTCTGGAGAGAGGCACAAGAGCGTAGCATGTCACCTGGCAGATTCGTCAACCCGTCACAACACCAAATCTGCAGCTCTTTAAGAGACGCAAAGATTTGTAGGGGAAGGAGTTCTCTGCATCTGTCGCAGCCAAAAAATACCAAACACGCTAACTCGGGGAGTGTTTTGCTGACTCAGGGAGTGTTGTTGTTGTTGGCAAATCCATTAACCATCGAGGAAATTGATCACCCAGAAAATATCAAATTACCAATTCCTTCAAATTTGGGTGGGGTCGAAGGCCATCTAACACATCTTCGTCATTGTAGTCGTCGCCTTCTCGATCAAGGGCCCACTCAAGTTCCAGCCTAAATAGATTTGCCTTTTCAGATAGTTTTGCTTCCTCAGCTCCTTCTTTACCCTTTACTAGTTGAAGATTGCGTATCTCCAATTTGCCTTTGAGGTTCTTCAAGCTTCCAAGCTCTCCAATTCGTCGACCCTTCTCTCGCCCCACGTTAAAGAACTCAAGCGTTTGAAGGCAAGTCAGCCGTCCCATCTCTAGCGGCATTTGAAATTCTTCATCATCATTATAATAGTGGAGATGTCTCAAGCTAATCAAATCGCACATCCCCTTCGGAAGATCTTTAACTTGTGAGCCACTTAGCGCCAATGTCTGCAGATTATAAAGCTTGCAAAGGGAGTCTGGCAAAATACTAATTGAAGACTTCGAAAGGTTAACATACCGCAAATGTATCAGTTTGCCAATTGATACTGGTAGCTCTTGAGTTGTTTCAGTAGACAAAAACAAAACATACAAGTTCTTCAACTTCATTAACATGTCATCAGATAAGTCACCATTTACAAACAATGTATGAAGAGACATTGATTGACTCTCCAAAAGTTTTTCTCTGTCTTCTCGACCACTAGACAAGTCTATTGCAAGGTAACGAATCTGATCACCATTGTCTACTATATATGTATCCCGATCAATAATGACTTTGGTAGACTTTGACATTGACTCTGCAAGGTCGTGCACCAAATCATGCATCTTATAAGATATTGATGTTTCTGACTTATCAATTATTTCTTCCAACAATGAACTCTGCAATAAAATTCTCAGATAATTCATTCCAATTTCCTCCATCATCATTTGGCTGGTGGCATCTACTTGTAGGAAACCTTCTGCCATCCAAAGTTCGATAAGCATATTCCTTTCTTTCTCACTATCCTTAGGAAATATAGACCAATGTGCAAAACATTTCTTAATGTATTGAGATGGCAAATTATCAAAACTAAACTTAAGTATTTGCATCACACGATCTCCATCTCCACTCATACTCAAAAGCCTATTCTCCAAAATTGATCGCCACTCCTCTTTTCTCTTTAAAGACAATAGACCTCCGATTACACTTGCAGCCAATGGTAGACCGTCACATCTTTCGATTACTCTCTCTTTAATTGCTTTTAGTTCATCAGGTTCTTCTCCCTCTCCAACTACCTTTTCTTTTATGATAGACCAACAATGATCATCAGGTAGTTTTCCTAATGGATAGGCTTCATTTTCCATCATCCTCAAAACTCTAGACACACTATGTGCCACTGGACCTAAACGAGTAGTGACCAGACACCAACTTCCATTAGTTGGATTGAGCCCCTTCAAGGTGGTGAAAAAGTCATCCCACAATGCTTGATCATCATCCCACACATCATCAAGGACTAGGAAATATCTCTTTTCCCCTAGTTGATTTTGAATGTGTTCAACAATGACATTCCTATCATCCACTTCAACTTTTCCTTTCATCAATTGCACTAACATGAGTTTGAAAAGTTCTACTACTGGAACTTTTTTCGATACACAAACCCAAATCTTTTTCTGAAAGTGCTCATCAATTTGCTGATTGTTGTATATCGATTTAGCCAAAGTTGTTTTGCCTAGACCTCCCATACCAGTTATGGGAAGACCAGAAACAACCTTCTCAGACGGGCTCAACAACATCTTCACTATCTTTGATTCATCATTGGTTCTTCCAATCATTGGAGCAACAACAGAGTCGGTCTGCTGACTTCTTGTGTCTCCAACAGCAGCAGGGAGGGCAGCTGTCATCCCTAACCTACTGACCAGTCCCAATCCGTTGGCTTCTTGATTTATCTCATTCAACTTAAGTTTGATGTCCCTGACCTTAGAAGCCATTCTCCAACGAAAAGCAAGATTAATATTAGAGAAGGAGAAGAAGCAGCATACCTTGAGCTTGTGTCGGTTTCGGGACTCCACCTGGTGATGAAGAGACTCATAGTGGAGCTCATCCAACAAATTGTCAACCTCATAAGCAACCTCCTCGAGACTCTTCAACCATTCTTGCACTGCTCCGTCCTGGTTTTGCTTTGCTTCAGCATTAGCCAAGACAGCATTGATCAGGCGGAGAGAACGTGTCATGCCGGCCACATCCTTCTTGAACCCAACCAGCAAACCAATCCTATCAGAGGCAAGAGACAGTGCCCTTTCCAAGGTGACCTGAATTGTGGAGCTGATAAGAGCGTCAGCCATTTTTTTTTTTTTTTGGAATAGCTTGGATTCAGTCCTGAGATCAAGATGGTTTTTTTAAAATGGGAGGTTTTAGCAGCCAGAAATTGGTAATGTTACAAGTGGTTAAAAAGAGGAGAGCATTGGTATTTGGTCGCTTAAAAGTGCAGACTTATTCTTAACTTTGGTGCCTTCCTTGGCATCTTCACTTTAAATTTCTTGGGAAACTTGGATGCTTTGAAATGGAAATTCCTGACTTGGGATTTTCACTTTAACTTTCTTGCTGGGGGCTTCATCTTTATTCGTTAATCCTTGAAAGATGAACTAATTAGAACATAATTTGGTCTTAACGCACACCTTATCCTGTTAGCTTCCACACTAACTCTGTTGGATTTTGCTTCTTAGCTAGAGACATAATTTGTGTCTCAATACAAAAATCAATTAGGCTTCTAATTATTTTGTAAATCAGAATCTGATATCGTTGAGCATTGAGCCTTTTCAACTTTGCATAATCAAGATGCTGAGTCTAATTTGGTGGTGTTGCCATCAATGAGTACCCCACATTGTATTCCTTGCTTGTGTTAATACCCGTGGTGGATGAAGTTTGGCAAAGAATAACTTGAAATGTGGATTTGCTTCAAACTTGTATTCGGAAATGAAGTTCGGCAATAGAGGCCTAAACAATTATTCTGCCTGACTGCTTTAGAAAATTTATCTAAAAAAAAATCATCCACAGTGCGATGGTGATTTATAGAATGATTATCACATAAACAAACTCATGCTTGAAGATAAATAAAAAAATTTTTGAACTTCATTGGAATCGGGAGGTAACATTTATGCCCTCCTCCGTCTTATACTTATTTTCAAGTGACTTAATAAATTTTTACTTTTATTTGGAAAAAAAAAATTAAGGAGTACAATTACCCTAATCAATGAGAAATTTCAAGTAGTTAAAACTCCATGTTCCACCTCAACTTCTAGTTACCAGTAATAAGCACCTGATTGAAATGACCCAGAACACAACATCATTGATGTACGAATTTAGTTTAAATGGTCTGACTATCTCTTTAAATATAAAGTAACCTGCAGGATTAAAAAAAAAATTTCAACCAAGATAAATAAGTGCTCTGTACAACAAATCCTTCAGAAATAAATATTTACTGTACTCTCAACCTGGGCATGGTGAGCATCTCCTAGTTTAATAAGATCAGATTAGAAAGATTGTTTTGTGGAACTACACAAAACATACGATACATAATTATATCTCTCACAATCATTTGTTTAGGAAGATTGTAATCATGTAGGACTCAAACAGAAGCATTAGAAAGATTAGATTAGATGACCAGTATGAGGAACGGTATTTTAAGCATTACAAAAATAAAAGGAAGAAATGCCATTATATATAGCACCTGTTGCGAGCTCCAGTCCTTAAAGTTTTGACAAAAACAAATTTAGTCCTCAATGTTTAGCACATGCACAGTTGTAGTCCCTAAAGTTTTTATAAGAATAACTCTAGTCTCCAATGTATCCAATATAAATTAGATTTAGATAACTGAATATTTTTCAATTACTGACAGAATTGAAATATAAAAATAAAGAAAAAATAGTGGCTAACTTTAAACGACAATATTAAGGATTAATAACTCATGTGCTAACTAATTAATTGGTAAAAAAATTGTTAAAGTACAAAACTCAAACTAGTTAGAGCATTTAATTCATCAATTTTGAACTTATTTTCTCTATCTATCCCTGCTGACCCTCAGAAAAAAAAAAAGAAAAAAAGAAAAGAAAAGCCCCAACACTTGGTTTTTGTGCATAATTAAATAAATTTCCTTTTTTCCTATTTTCTTGGTTAATTAATAACTCACGTGTCATCACATGAGTTGCTCTTACTGTTTAAGGTTATCCATTGATTTGCTTGTTTCTTACAAAATTAATTTAATGTACACATGACTGAACATTATTAGGTTCCATTAGTAATTAAAAAACGTTAGTCAATTGTCGCAATTTTGCTTAAATTCAGAAACTATTTGGAACCAAAATTATTTTTGATCAAAATTTTTGCCAAATATTGAGGATCATTTTTTTTTTTTTTTTTGCTAAAACTTTAGAACTAAAACCGTACAAGTGCAAAACACTAAGGACAAAAACTACATTTTTTCAAAAAATTAAAAGAAATTTCAGAAAACTGGGAAATGAATATCAGTAGTAGGAAGAGGTGAGATTTAAGTAACTAAAGTTTTGAACCTAAAACATCTAACTCCTATCATCTCAACCTTAACTAATTGTCCAAGGCCTATTCTGCGCATAAGGGCTCATCTCATGAAGAAAAAGCCAAATTATTAAATGCCAATACAAATTTACGAAAGAAATTGGAGCCGTGCAAGACTGGTGTAGTTGTTTATTTTTGGCCACTTTCGAGGTTTTTTGCCATGCAAATAATTTCCCAAGTCCCCTATTAATTTTGTATTTTCGTTTCAATCATGTGCACCGAGTGTGCCAATAGCCACCCCAAATTCCTGCCTAAAGGTAACTGCCACCCACATAGCTATCATTTCAGGGCATTAATGTGATTTCTTTCAGTTTTTGGACCTAATCTTTGTGCTAAACATTTTATACAGTCATCCTTGGGGAGCTTATCTTAAGTTCAAAAGCATAAAGTGTTGCATCTCAATCCCAAGTTCAAGAGTGTAAAATGTAGTTAGCCCTTAAATTCAGTCATAGTTCTCTTAGAATCTTCTTGGTCAGCTTCTCAAAGCATAAAGAAGCAGGGCCAAGAATCAGAACAAAGAACACACGAGATTTTTCTTTGCTAAAATATTTTGAGAAGGTTGGGCAGGTTGGGCCGTAGCTTATAAATCCTCAACCATATATACTACAACAGCTTTCAATTGAAGATCAGAGAAGAAGTTGAATAGTCAAATCTGATAAAAACTACTTCAAGTCTAAAGAAAAATTTAGATCTGACTTGTAGATTTAATTGGAGGAGTTTTGGAGGGAAGGAAGAGAAAAATGAGTTCTAGAGCGAAAAGGAAGACAGCTTTTGTAATATCCACATGATTTACTTATATATTAAGGTAGAAAATCTTATTACAGTCTAAACTAAATATTTGACAAGTATAGTAATTAGTTTTTGAATGATTTGATAGTATACCAATTAGAGAAATAAGGGCTACACGATTTTATTTGATAGTGATGCGAAATTAATGAGGTCCACGATTTTATTTAGAATATTTTCATTAGTTAAAAACTAACTGTTAACGTGTCAAGTAGTTGATCGAAACCAAGATAAAATTTCTCATATTATACCTCTAATGCCCAACAAATAACTTTTCTTTTTTTCTTTTGCATTTCAAAAACCATTAAGGAAGCTACATGGAAAGAAGTAGAGGGTAATTTTGAAAAGTAAACTGTATAGCAATAGCATGCTAATGGTGGTGGGAAGCAAATCAAGATCTTTAAATTGACCATTTTGACATGAGTAGTTAAGAATTGCAAGAACAATAATACAATCAATGGGAAGGGCCATAAACTTCAGCATATTCTCACATCACGTTAAAATTAAGAAACAAGATGCAGAGTTGGGTGTGCAAAGTAAATTTGGAGAACACATTGAAGATTCCTCTGTTTATGCTGCCTGACTTAAAGCCCCAATTTGTAACGTAGAGAGAATCACTCGGAAGAAGATCAGCTTCTCAATGTAGTTAAAACACCGTGGTAGATGGAAGCTGGCACTTGGAGTTTGATTAGTATCAAAAGCATATTCAATGGCCTAATTTGCATCTAGATACATGCAGGTACCAATAGATTTCGGTTAGATAGTCATTAACTTGACATCTTTTCACACTGTTAATGGACATTCTGATTGTTATCTGTATCCATGCAAGCCATCTTGACATTTAAGAGGTACAAACATTTTCAACATTTGCAGCTAGTTTGGGAGTTTTAGACAGAAAAGAAAAGAATAGAAAGCTCAAGTCATGAAAGAAAAGAAAAAAAGAGATTTAGTTTTGATATTGTTTGGGAGTTTAGTAAAGAAATAAAATGATATTGGATACATATGCCAATAAAAATTTGTTTAATAGACATTTAAGGATAAATTTGGTATTTTAAACAATTTTAGAAAGCTTGCTTCAACTCTGTTTTGTTGGAAAAGTATTATTAACTGTAAATGCTAGAATGATCCATCCAAAATCTTCCCATTTTTTTTTTTCAATCGCTCCACAACTCCCAAACATCATAAAAGAGCTATATTCTCTCACTTTCTTCTCATTTCCTGTCAAATCTAAGCTCCCAAACAAAGCATTGGTCTCCACATGATTTACAATTACCTAACATAAGCTCCAGTGTGCAAAATCTAAAATCAAAGGATGAATTAGGTAAATGTAACTTCAACGTATACCAATCTTTTATTTCCTTTCTTTCATTACTACCTCCATTTGCAGCACCCTTCATATTTGAACTTTTGCAATTTTTGATAGCTATGGTGAAAAAAAATAATAATGGCTCTAAACGAAGGTTGCTGTTAATGCCACAACATAAATTTTATTTCCACAATAATTTTTTGCATAAAATACTAAATTTGCCCTTCTCAAGTCCAATTGTAGTTTGGACGTAATGCGTCATTTTAACAAAATGTGCTCGGAAAATAAATTTTGAGCTATGGCAAACAATGACTGCAAATCATTAGCTTGTCCTCCCTCATCTGTTGATACATCTGTCAAATATCTTTATCATTCCATTATCCAAGAATTAGAGTAAAATATATGCTCTAGTTTGGTATGAGGGACTCAATCTGTGCAAACACAAACATTAGAGTAAAATATATGCTATAGAATAGTAATTTTTTTGGATTTTTTTTTTGTAGGAAAATAGACTGTAGCACTTGTTTTAATATGATGCGTATGAGCTAAAAATATAATTAGAAAATAGGGATAATTGCAGAAACCTCCCCTGAGATTTCTGACATTTGCACTGACCTCTCCTGTAGGTTTAGAAATTGCATTCACCTCCCCTGAACAGTAACAATTTGTTGCAGAAACCTCCCTGACAGCTTTTGTAGATGTGAGATAAGAAATTTCTTCCAATTTTGCCCTCTTCTTGCTTGACAATTATTATTTGCTTGACAATTGCTTAACTAATTATCTAATTAGTTAATAGTTAAACTAATTAACTATTAACTAATTATCTGATTAATTATTAACTAATTAACTAATTATCTAATTAATTAATTAACTAATTTCTATTTTTCTAATTAGCTGTTTAACTAATTAACTAAAGCTATTGTCTGTCCGAAACTAACAAACTATTTGCATGTTAAACTAATTAACTAATTAACTGCTTAACTAATCAACTAATTAACTAACTAACAAATTAACAGACTATTTGCATGTTAAACTATATGTAGTACGCATTACCTATTTACAGTATCGGCTCTTTATGGGTATTTTACTTTCAAACATTTAATTTATGATAAAAACATCAATGTTTGTAAGTAAAATTCAAAAAGTGTTACAGTAATATTCTTACAAAAAGGGAGGAGCATATGGCCATAAATTAAATGTTTGAAAGTAAGAATATTAATTAGTTAATAGTTAATTAGATAATTAGTTATTAATTAATTAGATTATTAGTTAATTAGTTAAACTATGCAGAAATAGTTAACTTAGTGTAATTTTTATTAACAAATGTTTTGTTGGGTTTGATGAAAGTACTCATCACATTCATTTGGTAAAATTAAATCATGTCAGGGATACTTTAGTAAATTGATCCACTTTTGCATATTAAATTGCCTCCAACTTTTGATAGGGGAGGTCAGTGCTATTTCAATATTGATAGGGGAGGTCAATGCTATTATTATAAAAGTCAGGGGAGGTTTCTGCAATTATCCCTAGAAAATATGTCAAGATATATTCTTGGAAAAATCTGAAAAATTTTTCTACAAAAGAATACAATCCAAACAAGGCCTATTGATGCCTAACTGACAAGTAAGCTTTTTTTTTTTTTTTTTTTTTCAAAAACGATAGGTGTTGTATTGATAAAATCAGAACTTTACACTTGTAAAGCAGCGGTTCCGAGAGGCTATACAAAGGTGTTAAACACCTTGAGGATTGTTTCATTCCTCTTCACCACAAAGACTTACTGCATAAGTACTAATAGATTTACTTATATTGTCATTTGCTATATCTAAACAAAATGAGCATTTTTTAAACAAACAACTTAAATTGTTGATGTCATCCATCAGAATTGCCAGCCTAATGTCTTTGGTTTTTCTGGACATCAACGATGATAGAAGCTGCTCTTGATCAAAGCTACTCTTACTGTCTCAGCTAAATCCACTATTGGTATGCTTGTGCCTCTATTCCTCATGGCCAAACTGTCTTAACTAACTGACAAGCTAATTTGGCACCAAAACCCAATGTGGATTTAATCTGGCCCCATGAACTGGTAGTCTTATAGAAAAGGTTTGTAGAATTGCTGCTTGTGGTATCAAATCTAAAATGTCCAATGCATTTTCAACGTGTGAAACTTCAGAGAGATCAATCATTTCATCCTGGTGAAATCACAAGTTTAAAGAGAGTGCACCGATGTTAGCAATCACAGTAACTGATATGCATGATAAACAAAACTATGCAACTGAAAAACGTGATTCAGTTAACCCAAGAAAATCTCGGTCACTGAAAAAAATATGCAACTGAAGCTTTAAGTGTAGTACTGAAACATGGATGGTATTGAATTGGACCACCATTTGCCATGTTTGATCTTTGCAACAGCGAATGAGATGTGATACAACGGGAGAAATACCAATTTGACATTTTAAATTAACCAAAATGATTGTTTAGTTCCGTTAGTTTAGATTGGTATGGAACCATGCATGGTTTATTAGTCGTAAAGGTTATGAAATATTGCACTTATTCATGATAAAGAGTTACTTGGCAGACCTACTCTGTTGCTGCTCCAATTATCACTTGATATACTTCAAAGGAAAGAAAGGACTTTGAAAAGTAAAGGCGGTGATTAGGAGCCATCAGGGTTCCCTACAGAGCTATAAACCTACAGCCACTGCAAAACAGAAAACTCAGACTCAGGACTTTGCATTAGCAAATCATGAGGCAAACACGAAATTGCATGACATTTTTGTCTAGTCAATTATTCAGAAAGCTAAATCAATATTTGTTTTTTTTCTTCTTTTCTAACGTAAATCAGTAAGCAGATATCAAATCTTTCTGTTCAGTCCACAAGTACCAGAAGCATCACAAAAACTATATTAGCTTTTGTTCAAAACACTGAAAAAGAAAAGTTCTATAACAATAATGACTGGCACCCACAAGCAGGAGAGGCAGAGAGTCCCAGAATTGCCAAAAAAGCGAACTATTTGAGACTGCAAGATGCAACAAGTAGAGCTAATAACTCATATCATTGCATTTGAACTTAAACTTCAGAAGAGGATAGTCTACCAAGTCTCTGCTGCTTGAAAATGTCTTAAACATGACAATTTTTTTAAGGTTTTAGTTAATGCTTAAACTGCTTAAAACCCAATATTAAGTAGTGGAAGAAGATAGTTGGTATTATAAATTATCAGACCACCAATCCCACAACCAAGGGCAGTGAGAGTAATTCGATTGAACATTGGATTTAGGTCAAGAGATCATAGCTGAAGAAAGTAGAATCCCATCATTTAAGAGACATAATAAGAATACCAATAATCAGATAATTTGGAGCAAGATGATACATACATTTCCAAGAGATGGAAGTTCAGAACAAGCATTTCCTTCCCGGTAGAATCTCGAGTTTAAAGAGAATTAGCTCCTTTCAGCAATCATGTTTAACAAGCATGAGCAAAAGTAAACTGCTATTTTTTATTTAAAACAAAGAATTTTGTACCGTAGATGAAAATACAAAAGTTTTCAGCTTTGACATCATGTTTAACTGTCCACATCAAATAATCTCCTCTTGAACATCTGTATTCCATAATTGAATTTAATATATGGTTAGCGATATTGTTTTCTTCCCGGAACAACGCTTGTTGAGTTTTTTTGAATCAGGCTGAAAAGGCCAGGAAAAGTTCAACAAAGTAGACAACTGACCTTACTGTTACATTACTAGACAACATCTTGGAAGCAGACGTTCTAAACATTCAGATATTTTGCAACAAAATCATCTTATTGTACAATTTCTATCACCTGATATTGGATAGATTTAAAAGAATTTAGTAATGATTTCACTGGAGTATGTTGTCTTGCAGAAACAATAAACTAGAAATTGACTCCTAAAATCTTTGTCCATCATTGCCTATCTATAATTTTCTGTGTTCCATCAAACTTTGATTTAACAATCTATTTCATGAATGTAAATGCATTATCATTCCTTTCTAGCAAATTGATAACCAAATGAACTTTCAGAGTACTTAGTTGGATGAGGACCTTTTAGATTGAAAATCTCAGGAAGGCATGTTTGCCTGCATTACAATAAAGATAGAAGAGCAAATTCCATGTCATATTTGAGCTAGGAATCTTACAGAAAGGGTTTCTTTTTGTTACCTTTGTTCTAAAACTAATGAGCAGGAAATAAGACTTGATACCAAGTACATCTACTAATCCATTTAAAACAAATTCGCTAACCTTACAGTACTTCTTGAAAATTTGCAAGCTCCTCATTGTCAATCTGTTTCTCTAGTACAAGCTCTATCACCAACCAAACCCCCCATGATCATTAGCAGAAATTCATGGTAATGATGGCTCTTGATCTTGAAAGACATTACATAAGCTGGGGAAAGAAATTCTGGTGGGCAGTTTGCAGAGGCCAGCTGACAGAGATAGAGCATTTTATCAGGTTTTAGACACCAGGAAGAAAGAAAAGTGTGCCTGTAGTGTGCCATCCTAATCATTTCTATCCAATTGAAACAGGATTTGATTCAACAAAGTTTTCAAAAGTTACAAGCTGTGCAATTCAATCAATAAGTAAGTGCAATTGTAGATTCTAGTTCACATTTGACCCTGAGATCATTGCAGAACAGAAAACTCGAGTTGAGACAATATGTGAACAAGAAAGCTAATCAGCAAGTTCAGAAAATTCAACAATAATTTTGTTCTGTCATTCCTACAAAAGGCTAAAATATGTCTTGTTTGTATGAAAATAAATAGATAAGCAAGTACTAAGTCGTGTTTACAATTACAGTATTTTGGTTCCAACCACAAAGCAAGTAATTACAACTCATAAAAAGAAAATAATAATGGACAATTTGTAGTGCAGGCAAAGCATTTCACATTGAGGCATTGAGAAACAATAGAGCTGTGGGCCACTGAGGCACAATAGAGATCCACATTTAATTGCTACCAAAACACCAGTTAGTTCTAACTTCTAACTCTGAGCAGTATGCCAGAGATGACAAATTGAGTTCTAAAACATGTAAATCAGCACCTCATTATCATGACTACACATCACTGGATCGTTTGGACAGTTTTAAAGAACCATACCCCAGTGGATATCTTAGACTTTGGACATATGAGGCACAGAGAAAAAGAGAATGCCATCCAGTAAGGAATTGTAGGGCTTTGAAAGAGAAATCAATGAGGTTCCCTGTTAAGCTTTGTGCCTAAAATCACTGCAAAGTACAAAAACTCAAACTCAAGATGGCGTTCAAAATAGAATAAAGCTAATGGAAATTTTTAGATAATTGCAGGTTTTCTGTCATTGTGACTAAAGCCCCAAAAGGAGAAACTTACCATAAAAAAAGAAGCAACCGACAATCATAAAAGCAGAGAGAGCTTAAAAGCCTCTATCATTAAGATCAGCAAGTCACAACAAGCAGACTTGAGTTGAATGTTGGAAGATACTCCACCAAGTTTTGTGCAACTTCATTGCCCAAACAGTGCACACCTTCCTTGGCTACCTCAAAAATATCTTCGTGACGACAAGATTTCTCTTATTTTATATGTAATATATTAGATATTAAAGTGGTTAAAAGTCAAAATTGAGCAGCGAAAGAAGAGAAGCATATCTAAAATTACCCAAATTTTTGAACCAAAACATGAAAGTGATAACCAACAGCTGCGAAAACTCCTCAATTGACCATTGTCTTCATGGATAAAAAGCCAAAATCAAGGAAAAGTGAGCCAGAAAACCATCATATATGACTCCGATGGAGCAATTACTACTCAAATAGTTCAGATAAGTATGCAAGTTCATTATCAAGAGACGAGGTAAAAGTTCAGTCCCCTTAGAATCACAATTTTAAACAGAGTGAGATGACTTTAGCAATAATAACTTAAAATCCACAGAAGCAGAGCATGCAAAATAAACAAAAATAAACTGCTAGTTGTTCTAAACGTTGATAGGCTATTTGTAGGAAATGCAGGCCAAAAGTTATTGAGTTCTAGCCATATAGACGGTGCTGAAGAAGCTTCAAAATTCTAACCTCTGTTCGTGAAGCTATTCTTCTATCAATCCTACAAAAACAAAGCATAGAACAGAATATGAACAGAGATACAGTAAAACATCAAAGCACGAAACAGAACAGGTGCTTGGGGTCATTCTAATTGATACAGTAAAACATCAAAGCACCAATATTTTGGACCTAATAAGAAATGCTAATGCCGCAGCTTTGAAAGATAATAAATAGGACGATAAAAAGGGAGAAGAGAAAATTGTGAAAATAACCACGGAGACTTTTTTAGGCTTTCTCACGAGAAGGTTAATCAGAGGGGGAGGTGAAGAGAATGGGAGATTGATTGTAAAGCAAATTAAGAAAGAGGTTATTGAAAGCAGTCTTACATGATTGAATTTGATCCAAAGATGAAAGTTGGTTATTAATCAACTTATGCGTAGGTCTTGAATGTGAGAAACTTTGGACCACTGGGAGTCGGGGCCGCTGCTCTCAGGAGTGCATCTTTCTTTTAACAGAGGAGAACCATAAACCTCCAGACGTTTTAGTTTGGTGAGACTTCTCATGGCATCCTCAGAGGGTAGATGTCCAAGCTCTTTGAAAAACCATAAGTGCACGTCTTCAAGAGCCGCAAAGTTTCCGAACCAATCTGGCAGAGCTTTTATACCTCCAAAGACAACTAGCGTTAGTGACGTGAGAGTGGTCAAGTATTGGATCTGAGGTGGCAGGGACTCCATGTGTGGCAACCCAAATAATTCTAATTCACGGAGTGCGGATGACGAAGAGAAGGAGGAGGAGGATATCAATCCAGACCAATCAAACTCATTGTAAATTGAAGAATTTTCATGATCATCACCATCATCTGAGAAGGGACCAATTACAAGCTTCCTTAAGCTGGTTAGGAAACCAAATCCTTTGGGCGTCGTACTTGTTTTCAGTTTGGGACACTTCCATAATCCCAGCTCCAAGAGAGAAGGCATTTGTTGCAAATCAAGCGGGAAGGAGAAAAGATTGTAGCAATAAGTCACCCGAAGCTTCTGGAGAGAGGCACACGAGTGTAGCATGTCACCGGGCAGATTCGTCAACCCACCGCAATTTGTAATCACTAGCTCTTTAAGAGACCTAAAGTTTTGCAGGGGAAGGAGTTCTCTGCATCTGTTGCAGCAATTAAATGTCAAACTCGCTAACTTGGGGAGTGTTGTTGCTGTTGGCAAATCCACTAACCATCGAGGAAATTGATCACCCATAAAATTCTCAATTACCAACTCCTCCAAATTTGGGTGGGGTCGAAGGCAGTCCAACACTTTTTCGTCGTTGTAGTTATGGCCTTCTCGATGCCAAGGCCGGGCCCACTTAAGTCGCAAACTAAATAGATTAGCCTTTTCAGATAGTTTTGCTTCTTCAGCTCCTTTTCTATCCTTTACTAGATGAAGATTGTGTATCTCCAAATTGCCTTTGAGGTTCTTCAAGCTTCCAAGCTCTCCAATTCGTCGACCCTTCTCTCGACCCACTTTAAAGAATGCTAGCGTCTGAAGGCAAGTCAGTCGTCCCATCTCTAACGGCATTTGAAATTCTTCATTATAGGTGTAATAGTGGAGATGTCTCAAGCTAATCAAATCGCGCGTCCCCTTTGGCAGAACCTTAAGAGCCAAGCTGTTTAGCCTCAGTGTCTGCAAATTATAAAGTTTGCAAACAGATTCTGGCAAAGTTTCACTTCTAGAACCCTCAAAGTTAATGTGCCTCAAGTGTATCAGTTTGCCAATTGAGATTGGCAGATTCTGATGTTTTGCACCTGACAAATTCAAAACGTGCAAATTCTTCAACTTCATTAGCATATCATCAGATAAGCTACCCTGACTCAGAAACAATGTATGAAGCAAATTTGATCGACTCTCAAAAAGATTTATTGTGTCTTCTCCAAATGAGTCTATTACAAGACAACGAACCTGATTACTATTGTCTCCTGAACCAGTCTCCGAATTAATGAATTTAGTAGACTTTGACATTATTGATTTTGAGACTTCGTGCACCATATCATGCATTTTATAATACCTTTCCCCATGTCTTCTTATTTCTTCCAGCAAAGAACTCTGCAATAAAATTTCCAAGTAATATTCTCCAATTTCCTCCATTGTTTTGTTTACCATCGTTCTGTTCTTGAGATCTACTTGAAGGAAGCCTTCTGCCATCCAAAGTTCGATCAGCATATCCCCTTCCATCTCAGCATCATTGGGAAAAATAGAACAATATGCAAAACATTTCTTGATGGCTGGTGATGGTAGATTATCAAAACTCAACTGAAGTATTTGCATCACACGATCTCCATCTCCACTCAAACTCAAAAGCCTATTCTCCAAAATTGATCGCCACTCCTCTTTTCTATTTAAACGTAACAGACCTCCGATCACGCTTGCAGCCAATGGTAGACCATCACATCTTTTGATTACTCTCTCTTTAATTGCTTTTAGTACATCCGGTTCTTCTTGCCCTCCAACTGCCTTTTCTTTTAGGATAGACCAACAATGATCATCAGGTAGCCTTCCTAAGGCATAGGGTTCATTTTCCATCATCAAAGCTCCAGACACACTATGTGCCACTAGACCCAAACGAGTAGTGACAAGACACCAGGTTCCATTGGTTGGATTGAGCCCCTTCAAGGTGGTGAAAAAGTCATCCCACAATGCCTGATCATCATCCCACACGTCGTCAAGGACCAGGAAATATCTTTCTCCCCCCAAGTGATTCCGAATTTTTCCAACAATGACATTCCTATCTTTCACTTCAACCTTTTCTTCTGTCACTTGCAATAAAATGAGTTTGAAAAGCTCCACTATTGGGACTTTTTTCGATACACAAACCCAAATCTTTTTGTTAAAGTGCCCGTCAATTTGCTGATTGTTGTATATCGATTTAGCCAAAGTTGTTTTGCCTAGACCTCCCATACCAATTATGGGAAGAACAGAAACAACCTTCTTAGACGGGCTCAACAATATCTTCACTATGTTTGATTCATCATCGGCTCTTCCAATTATTGGAACAAGAACAGAGTCGGTCTGCCGATTTCTTGCGTCTCCAACAGCAGCAGGGAGGGCAGCTGTCATCCCTAACCTACTGACCAGTCCCAATCCGTTGGCTTGTTGATTGATGTCGTTCAGCTTAAGTTTGATGTCCCTGACCTTAGAAGCCATTCTCCAACGAAAAGCAAGATTAATGTTAGAGAAGGAGAAGAAGCAGCATACCTTTCGCTTGGGTCGGATTCGGGACTCCACCTGGTGATGAAGAGATTCATAGTGGAGCTCATCCAACACATTCTGAGCATCATAAGCCACCTCCTCGAGACACTTCAACCATCGTTGCACTCCTCTGCTTTGGTTTTGCTTTTCCTCAGCATCAGCCAGGACATCTTTGATAAAGCCAAGAGATCGAGTCATGCTGGCCACATCCTTCTTGAACCCAACTAGCAAACCAATCCTATCAGAGGCAAGAGACAGTGCCCTTTCCAAGGTGACCTGAATTGTGGCACCGATAACAGGGTCGGCCATTTTTGCTGCCTTGGATTCAGTGTTGAGAACAAGATGGTTTTTTTTTTTTTTTTTTTTTTAATGGAAGGTTTTTTGCAGCAAGGAACTGGTAATCTTATCTAGGCTAGTATAATTGGTTATGATTATGAAGAAAGGAGCATTAATAATTATTGCGCGTAGACGTGGAGTTCTTCTCTGACAAATTTGTAAGCTTTTGCATTGGCATGTTTACGGAGTAACTTTCTCAATTATTGTATAGTTGTTGGGGCATCATGTTTTCTGATTAAATGCTGGGGCCATTGTTTTTGTCCACGATCAAGTAAATAAAATGATCGGTGTGAAATCCTTAGTCTTCTACTCCTCTCTTTAAAATCTGATAGTCTTTATAAATTTAATCTTTTTTGTTATATTATTTCTTATTACTTTCTTTTTCTAGTTGATTTTGGATCTCTTTTTTTTTTTTTATTAGTTTTCTAACTTTTTTCTTTAGCTTTTGCTGACGCGTATATTGGTTTCTCCTCAAACTGGATGTCTCTCAATCTCTCTCGTGAGAATTCAACATACCTTGAGATGAATTTCGTTTTGGCCATTATCAAGTTTGCACTTAAAGAATTAAAGTTCATATGGGCCTAAGTCATACTAATTTCAAATCTTTGACATTTATTTATCGCAACCCTCAATTCTTCTTTCCTCTAGTGTTTCTTTTCTATATCAACTCTCCTTAATCCCATTATTGTCTCACAGCATAATCCAGAAAAGTGTCAATATATAAGAATTCTTTTGAAGTAATTATTACTAATATATAGTTTCCGTTTCTTGTGGAATGTTCTGAATCTTTCCTAAAGAAACATTTTCCAATTTGAGTTCCAGAATTGTTGCAAAATTTTTGGTTTGCGCATCACTTTGCATGTAAGAATTCAAAATTTCACCACCAATCAAATATAGTTTTCCTCGCAACTTGTCCCGTTTGGATTGCTATTTTTAGGAATTTTTTGTAGAAAAATATACGGTAGAGACTTGATGTATGTAAGGTAAAAAGGTGATTAAGAAATATATTTATAGAAAAAATGTTAGTTTCCTTTTCTCTTCTATTTCGAATTTCTCCCAACTTATGTTTCCTTGTTGCAAATCTCGCCAAACTATATAAGCTATGTCTTATCGATTTCTTTGATACCTGAAACACAAGAAATTTCTCATTCCTTATGTGTATTCTTGTTTAATTATTTAATTTGGTTCCTGAAACACAAGAAATTAGCAAAGAATTTCGATCCAATTTGATGCTGTGCTTCTTTGACAAACTGAATCGGATGCTTCTGCAATGGAAGTTGCTTGTCATTTTCAATTCACCTTTCTTAGCAGTTGAGTACTCCTTATTTTGTTTGCTTTCTGCAGGGGATTATAATAACACTGTTGCGTCAAAAAAATCCTCCAATTTCTTTAAAATCCACAGACCCCCAGAGTTCTCCATTTCCATGCTAGCTATATATTTTCCTTTTTGGCTAGTTCAGAATAGCTAGAAATTTATGGTGGATGCTTTTGTCAGCTCTTTAACCACTGGTAGAAAGAAGTGCTGCAGTAGTACATCTTTGACAAACTTGATACCATTAATTGCCATGGGGAAGTTTGCATGCCATTAATTGCCATGGAGAAGTATTTCATCTTTTTCTGATTGAAAGCTGGCTGGGGCCTTTGCTGTGGAAAATATCTCAATGGTTTGTCGGAGTAGTGGTTTGACCCAAGACTGACCCCCGCCAAAAATAAAAAACTATATTGTTGTTCAAAAAATGGAGAACCCAAACAGAGCCTATGTTCGACGATCAAAATGTAAAGGAGAAAGAGGAAATGACAACCATAGCTGGTGACTTTGCAACATTAATTACCTCAGTCATTATTCCTTGGGAAATAGACTAAAAACGTTATTTTGTGGGAAGAAAACTTAAAAAATAATCCGTGGTTCACTTATCAAAAACATGAAGTGGAGTTAGCAATCAGGTTTGGCATGTAGCGACATAATTGGCCAATGGTTGGGTGCTTTCTTAGCTTTTTGCACTTGTGAAATTGCCAAAATAGTCACTCGTAATTCCACAAGCTTTCTAGCACTTTAAAAATTCAAACATTTTGTGTCAAAATGTCTTGTTTATGTACAGCATACAAAATTTAAGTGGTGAAAGTTTAAGGAGTTTCTTTATTACTATTTTTTTTTAGTACAATATACAATCACCTGGAGTTAGAAGTGAAATAGACCTTTAGCTCACACTATGATTATAAACGTTTGACTGAATTGGATGTTTTGGGAAGGGGAAAATGAACGTGTTCTTGTGGATTTCAATTTTTACAATTGAATTATTTGCCTATGATATGATCACAAGTTTAACTTAAATGGAGCTGCGATAATAGAAGATTCTCAAAAGAAGACTTCAAAAGGTGGAAATTGAAAATGAGTGGAAATTAATGGGGAATTAACCAGTTATTTGGATACTTAAATTTTACCTATTTTTGTATCCGACTCTTTTATAATTAGTTTTTCTTATAGTTTTTCTCGCTCCTCACAAATTTATCTAAAAAGATAAATTTGAATTATTTGTTCTTATGGCTCCTCTCTCTTCTAACAATATGATTAATTTGTATAAATTTTTTTATCCATATGGATTAACTTAGTGTTAAAAAAATTTTAACTGTTAGCTGATAGATTTATCAATATTGCTGGAAATTAAATATTTGTTGATGTAGAAAACAAATGGCAAAATCTTTTGTACTTAGTTAAGTAGGAAAATGTAACTAGGTTTATGGTTATTATAAAAATTGTAATTATCTAAAAAATATCCGTACACAAAAAGGTAGAATATCTATTGATTTTTTTATATGTGTTATAATATTTGATGAATATTATTATATTATAGTAAAAGTATGTAAAGAAGTTTTTAAAATTTAGTATGATAGTTAAGTATAATTATTCCATTAATTTTCTAAAATTAATATGAATGAACTTGTAAGATCATCATTAATTTTTTTATTTAAATTATTCATGCTTGCACGAATTCATAAGAAAATAAAAAAAATAAACCATGCCAAGGCACATGCAAGATGCTAGTTCAAATTAATGTTGTACACGTATAGGAGTCACAAAACGGTTTGGTGCACTAGCAGACGAAAGGGGACATCTAAAGTATTAGGACAAGTTTTACATTAAAGTGGGAGATTTGTAAAGCAATTGAGCGAAAACAAATGAGGTTGAGGAAAACTTTATATCAGTTGCAATACATTCATAAAAGCTATGACACATTCGTTAAAATAAGAAATATTTATTAATTTGGTGCAGTGTAATAGCAAACCAAGGAAAAAAATATGAATGATCCGTAAGAGGGAAAGATGTCATTTGACTTAAAATAAAAGTGTGATTGGATAGAGGTTTACTTGAACAAAAAAATTAGATTAATATCGTAACACTTTTTGTGGCTTGATATAATGTATATGAGATAGAATGATGGCTAGTAAAATTAAAAAAATGATTCAGGTAAATATAAATAATTTTTTTCATATATTTGTGTAATGATGATAATGACAGAGTGAAAACAGTGCATGCAAAGACGAAGGTTGATAATAATAATGATAACTATGGTGAGATGGATAGCAATTGCAAGTTGCACACCATGCAATTAGTGTTTTAGATTAGGTAAATTTTCACACCATTATTGCAAATAATTCAGTCAATAAGAGAGAGGAAAACACAATGCACGAAATCCAACTTTTAGAATTGTGTTATAGTTTAACGATGACTATGTGGTGTTTTTGTAGACAAATAAACAGAAAAACAAATAAATATACAAATTTGATAAAGAAAGGTGCACTTCTACGGACCGAAACTAATTGCTCTCAGGTCCCATTTTGCTATTTTTTAAAGTTTTTATAAGGACTTTTTCGTTTGGATTGCTATTTTTTGAAGTTTTTATAGAAAAATGTGTTGTAGGAATTTAATATATATGAGATAAAAAGGTAATTGAAAAATGTGTTTATGAAAATGTTAAAAATTTTTCTTAGTAAACTGCAATCCTAGCATGGCTTGCGATTTGATCAATATGAAATAAAAAAGTAATTGAGAAATGTATTCATAAAAAATGTAAAAATTTTTGCCTTAGAAAATTACAATCCAAACAAGTAGTCTTCTCCCCATTTAAGAAACGCAATGAAAATATTTGTTGAATAATTAAACTTATCCCTTCATAAACCACTTATATCGGGGGAAGAATCGATTTTATGGTATGGAGGGAGGCAGTGAGTGAAAAGTCTTGGGTTCGATTTCTCCCACTTACACAGAGAAAAAAGTACAAAAAAAAATCCACTTATACTAGCTAAGAGTATTTTCAGGTCACGTCTCGTGTTATATATTATTAATCTTATCCTATTATCCACAAGCATTCGTTGGAAATTGCACGCTTAATTTAGATAAAAAAAATAATGAAATATTTGTTGGAAACGAAGGAAAAGTGACGCAAGCTTTCCAATTTGTAAATTCAATTAGATTAACAAGTAAAACTTATTAAAGTGTATCAGCATGAGAGAATTTAGTGCTTCATCTGACGCTTTTAAAATAGACAAATGAAGTTTTGAAATTTTAGCACTTTTGGACCAATACTTTTTTTTAAGGCAAAACCAATGCCTTAGGTAATTACAAGATCTCATCCTGATTTGCTTTTTTTCTTATTAAATGTAGAATCTAGAAAATCATGTCTAAGAAATAACTACATATGCCCGGAAAAAAAATTTAGTGCTAGGATAAATATATGGTTAAGTTATGGAAATTCTCTTCTCCATTTTAGCAATTTGATACTTTGGATGCATGATTTCATCTGTTATATTTCGCTCAAAATAAGTTACTTTAGAATGGTGTTTGGATGTGGATACATAATCTGTAATTATTCTCACCTACTATTTATTTTCTAAAGGTCTGTCCACTTTATTCAGATTTCTAACCTATTTCACTCACAAATGCAGAGGTAGCCATTGGCGTTTTACGAGGAAGAGAAACCAAAAAAAACTGCCAACCCCTTTATTGCTCTCTTTCATCTTATTTCTATATCTTTCATCCTTCCTTTTTCGATGTGACCTTCAATTAGGACTGCAAACCACTCAAGCGCTAGTGAGCCAACTCGGTTAAAAGTTAACTCGAGTTCAGTTAACATTGAATTCGAGTTGAGCTCAATCCAACCAAGTTGAACTATC